ATATCACCTGTTTTAGGGATTCAAGGTTGACATTAGGTTGTTCTATCACTTCTTTGGCAACCGTAGCAGTAGCAGGATGAGTTACAATCCTTTCAAAACTCATCATAGAATCAGTAAACTCACAATACTGAAAAAACTCTAAAAATATGGAAAAATAGATGCTAAGATCGAAATAACAAACCAACAAAATACCTTAGAAAGGGTCTGAGAATCGAGGATAAACAATCCAATCTGTATGAGAAGAGATCCCAATGACAAAGTTTCAGATCTGGAATGGAATTGAAAATCCAACTCCAAAAAACCCAACAACAATGATAAGAGAAAAGAACCAAGAGCTTATAGCTCTGATACCATGTTAGAAACTGATAAGAAGGAGAAATATCTGAAGAAAGGTTTATTGCTTTCTGGAATTATACTGTGTGTACAATGACCTATATATATGTGTTTACAAAGAGAATATCCTAAGGTATAAAGTATACAAAGAGAATATTCTAAAGTATAAAATATTTACAATAATTATGTTCACATCTTAACATCCTTCATGCGCAATCTCAACCAAGAAATTTGCTGCCTCAACATTTTTGCTCACGGCCACCTCATGGAGAAGAGTGTTGCCTTGAATGTTCTTCATCGTCAACACATCCCATTTTCTAGGTCCTGCAACCATATCAAAGAGAACTCGGAGCAGATCGACGCTGCCCTTGTATGCTGCAATATGGAAAACAGCATCTTCGGAAGGATTGAGGTGATAGGATAAAGCAAAACGTTTGGTCTGATATAGTGTTTTAATGCTTTCCCACTCATTTCCCAAGGCCTTTACATAAGTCTCCCTCATTTCCTTAACATTTTCTCCATTTATATCCAAAGCTACTTCTTTTGCCATCTCTCCTTTTTCTGCTGAATTGATAAATAAATAAATAAATATATATATAGGCGGCTTTCATGTTCATGATTCTTGGTTTTATAGTCTGTAACAGGTCGAAAGAGTGATTAAAAATAGGAAAATAATTGGTACACCTTCGGTTCAATACATTTTTTAATGCACTCTCAGTTTAGTCATTAAAAATATAATATAAATACAGTTAATTCAACCGGTTCTCATATTCTATGTGCATAATTATATTATTAAATTTGTCTGTATTTAATTTCAGACTAAAAAAATAGTGATTTTGTGTTGAATCGGAGTATGTATCAATCATTGTCCTTAAAAATAATACACTACTGTAGGAATGGGATTTCCGAACCGAAATATCGGTCCGGATATATAGGAAATCGGTTTGAATATATATATCCGGACCGATATTGGTCCTTATAGTTGATCTGAAAAAACCTGGTATGAATAAGTCTAATATATAGACCGATGTAGAATCGGTTCGTATATATATACTATCCGGACCGAAATCGGTCCGGATATTTCAGTAAGAAATATAAATAATTATTGAGAAATTGAAATAAGCGGACCGAAAT